ATATACATTGTTTTGTGCCATTTGTTGAGACACCAATATGAGTTAAAAACAGTATGTCTTAGATACTGTAACTACAAGGCCTACTGTCCTAATCCCATGATTGGCAGGAGACTTGAACATAGCTTACCATAACTACACTGCATACTTGTACATACCTGTACATCTACATGTTATATAAACATGACTGCATAACAGTGACACACCAACCACCAAGTTATTTTTCTGTACATTTATTTAATCAGTTACTCTCGTTGAGGAATAAGAAAAATGTAAAGATGGACAGATGAGTATTTGCAATAAGAGAACTATGATGCAGTTTGTTGGTACACTAGGAGTCTCTTTGTCTGTCTCCGTCCATCTCCGTCCATCAGTCTGACATGTTATGTTCCAGTTCGTCCCACACTGCAGATGGCACTTAGGTGGGACTTCCGCTTGCAGGCTGGCAGGCGTAGCCACTAGTGCTACTGAGGGTCGGGGTGTTTATTTGCTTGTGTTGCTTGTGCTTGTGTCTGTATTTTCCAAGCATGTCTTTGTGCATTGTCAAATTACTAAATCAGTTTCACAAATGTGTTTGTCTTATTTGGCTCCGTTTTTATGTATTTTTTTCTCAAGTTGCTTCCAAAATGGTGGGACTAAAGATGCATTTGGGCGTTGGTCTGTTAAACTGTTGCAACATTAAGTAATTGGCACCAGTTGTTGTTTTCAAAATAGAGGAAACTTGATCCATGGTCATCTGGATTCCACTCAAATCAATGAATTTATGACTCCCTCTTCGTTATTTTTATGATTCTTTCTACATATTCCAGCCATGTAGCAGGAATGTTGGCCCAAAAGCACTGTTAGATACACTTGATCAAGGCTTTAGGCATTTCCAAACACCAGGTAAGCTAGGCCCATGTTTTTATTACATCCAGGCTACAGCAGGCTGGGCTTCTTTTGTTAAACAAACACAGGTACATTGCCTGGGAAGGCATTGTTCTACTTTTTATAATATCATAATGCATGTATGAGGAGGTGATGTAGCAGTGCTAAAGACATAGATTGTGTTCAGTGTATAGACCGAGGGAAGAAGGTACTAGCATGTCTGTCTGCGGGGCCTTCAGTTTTTCAGTATATCCGACTCGCACAAAAGAAGGGCTAACACAATGACGACAGAGCCTGAAGAGAGGGCCTCAAATTGGCTGTGGATGAAAATAAATTAATCCAGCACAACACATTTGCCTGGTATTGTAAAATGTATGTACATTCAAGATGACAGGCAACAGTAACCCTTGTTATGAAGGTTACTCGGCCATTGATGTTGGCTTTTCATCCTCCACAAATTGTTTGCAAGATGCTTTCATGCAAATTGTTGGATACCTTTTGCCAGCATTATAGCATGGCCCGTCAGTTGTTCTGATTGTTCCTGGTTGGATGGTCGGTCCAGTCTGATTTGGTCCAGACTGGATTGCCAGGAAATGTTGTACTGGTTCGTGGATTCCTTTCAATGAATCCAAATGAGTTCAAGCGATCTTTGGACTTACCTCTAGCGATTACAACAAGTTCTGATTGATGGAGAGAAATATCTCAACAACTATTGGGTGGATTAATGATGACCTCAGACTTTTCATTTAAAATGTATTAATTGGCCCACATTTAGATTTATGATGAATCACTGTAAAATTCCCATCAGCTCTACAGTGCTAATTAACGTATGCTAGCGTGCTAATATGCTAGAATTGTCTTGCAGGTTAGCAGCACACATTTTAAAGCACTACTGACCATGGCTGTAGACATTTTGTTGTGTAATCTTCTCAGATTTTATATAGAAGGTTTAAATTGGTTATTTTGGCAAGTGGCCTTTAAAAAGCAGTTATTTTTAATTACTTTGACTAAAGCGCTAATAATATATTGGCTATAACAGCTCACTGGCCACTTGTTGTGTTTCATTGGATGTCTTAATACAGGCTTTTAAAGGCCCTGTAAAAAAACAATATACTGGACTTTCATATAACTAACTTTAACATAATTTAAATAAAGAAAATCTACATTGGCAACATTTTATACCTTAATCTTACAATGGCTGTTTTACAAGTTCAGTTTAGATAAAAAAAGCTACAGTCAGAAATAGCAATAGTGCCAACGAAAAGCTTGACAGCCATCTATAATTGGTGTCAGATGGGTCAAGACACGGTTTTGAAAGAGAACAGTGTCTCTAAAAGACAGATGGTTATCAGCCAGATGTCAGGGAGGGGTTGATGGTATGAGTCAAGCTCGAGAGCAGATCAGAAGCAATAGTTAGGGAGGGGGAGAAGAGGCAGGGTTTTGGAGGGGAAAAGTTAAGTCTGCTTATGGGAATATTTTTAAGACTTCATGTAGGATGGGTTGAGGAACATTAAGCTCATGTAAAAGGGGTCAGAGGAGGAGAGGATGACCAGGGCGGCTTGCGTTACTGTTTGTGGGCAGTGAACAGAGGGAGAAGCAGTGCTGAGACGAGAGGATAGACACCATCTTCTTCTTGTCGAATGCAGGAGACTGGAAGTATTAAATAAGAGACCAGATGAGATGCTATAACTTTTCCAAGAAAGCCAGACTTAGGGGAATTTCCTCCCAGCTGCCCGAAGGCTTGTCCATTTGATTCGACCAGGTGGTTTACAGCCATGAGCAGGTGTGAGCAGATATACAAGCTCAGAGAAAAAGAAAAGGCCCAGGGGATATGAGGGCAAGTATAAATGTTGAGGTCAGCTGTAGGGAGTAAAGAGAGGGGAGCTGAGGACACCTGAAGCAAATAAGTTATACTTTGTGTTGGTGGTTTGGGAAAACTAGTTTAGACAACAACACGGGAAGCTCCAGTAGAGGCCCGTAGCATGGCCGTCTTCTGTTCTCTTGTTTTTCTTTTAGAAAAATGTCTCAATGATTCAGGAGACCTAGAAATAGACACAGCCATGGAACATGCCAGGGAGTATAGATATTTATTGTTTCAGGACTGTCATCATAGGGCCATGAGTTTCAATTTGTGCCTGTGGTTTGTGATCTACTTACATTTTTAGAAATACCCTCTATCCCTTTTCCTTATTCGATATTGGATGTCTCAATTAAGATGACAAATCTTGAGTTTGGCAGGGACCCAGCTAAAATATTTTGATGCTCTTTTTATGTTTACAAAATCTAATAGTGAAGACAAAAGGCATTCTGTTCAGGGTTCTTAAGCATTACAGCAACCTCGATATAGCTGCAAGTGAACTCGGAAGATCCAAAATGGAAAAATCTATATTTTTCAGATCTTCTTGTGATTTGTAAAATGAACAGGTCACAATTGTGGCACCTATATTTCATATCGGGGCACATTTGATCAAACTTATGGCAAAAAGACACAATATATTTTACTTTATCATATTTCCTATCACAAAAGGTTACAGATTTAATCATTTCTGCACCAGAAAATCTATACAAAGTGGTAGAGGGAAACGTATTGTCAGTCTTATTCCTTTACCTCCTTTTTAATGTTTCTGTTCCACTGGTTATTTTTTGCAATTTAGACTGTACTCGTGCTTTTCTTCCATTAACCATACATGCAAATCTCCCCAGTGTGCAAGCTGTCAATTTCTCTGTGAATCTGTGTCGAGTATGCAAACCTAATTAGCATTTATGCACTTAACCATGTGCGTCACAGTTTAACGGGAATCCAGTCGTTCACAATTAAATACCTTAATTATCTTTTTCAACTTAACAGCTGGAGTTCAGCTGGTTTTCAGTGTATGTTATAATATTTATTAGAATATGTCGCACTAAGTATAGCTCTTATGCTGTGTTTACTCGCCATTCTTATATCTGTTTAAATGTTGGCAAGCTTAAAAATTAATTTTAGCCCAGTCGTATAACTCAGTTGTACTTCTGCATACTTAGTGTTGCTGTTGTTGGGAATTCCTAGCAGATTCACTTAGAGTAACCAGTCAATAAGGGACTCATGTGAAATGTTTGCATGTGAATTTCCTATCATTACTTCAACATCAGCTGCTTAGCAGCACTTTGTGACAACAATCCTGAGCAAACCCAAGGCCCCACCCGTTTCCTTGTTGTGCCTAAAACTTTCCCTTACATTCTGATCCTTCCAAATAAATAAATGGATGACATTAATTCCTGTTAGGTTTTTTTTTGGCATCCGTTCTACCATTCTGTAGTTTTCTATTTTATTGTTGGCAACATCTCTACAACCCCATGACAGTCACAAGGGTTGATTTCAGCTGCCCTCTCAATAGTGGATTTTATGTTCTCTCAAATCTCTCATCAAATTATCCCTGTAGCTTAAATCATTCCCTCAATGAATATGTCCTCATGACCTGAAGATTTGTACACACAGTGATGTAAAGTAAATTAGGCAGAAATGATATAAGAAAAATAAGAATTTCAACACCAACAGCCTCAAAGTACGTCTGTTTGTATGTATGGTCCCCAGTTATACTGAAATGAAATGATATTTAAAAATGTAACTGTGTGTAACGGAGAGGTTACTAATCATGTTTTTAAGTTAGTGGTTAAGGGTTGACTAAACTTCTCTGCATAAGTACTGCATTCAATAAAAGAAAAAATATATTGTAATTTTGGATATTTACTTTTTAAAGACTAAGGATTGCAAAACAAAACTTTAGTTTTGGGACTGACATGTGGGGTCAGCTGGGGTTTATACAGTAATTAGAGAGGAATCTGCCCGCTGTCACCTCATCACTAGGCAAAGTTCATTCAGGAGTAATTTAATTGCATACTTCATGTCTGAGTTACTCTTGCCCGAGCGGCTTCATTGTATGGCGAGGACATTGGAACACTTTTTAGGTCATGATTTTGTACGCAGTGTTTGGAAGCCAGGACTCCGGACAGTACGTCCTCTTCAGGTCGCGCAACATTTGATGCAGTTTAATTATGAAGATCAGTTCCATTTTTCATCATCTGTAGAATGCAATCCAAAACACATTTAAAGCACTTTTGACACGACCACCATCCAAAAACACATTCACTGCACCATGGAAATTTGCATAAGTTGTTTTATTCATAGTTATTGTCCTCTTTATACTTCTTTTTGAATTGTTTTGTCTTTTGTTAAAGTGGACATCACGTAAAGTCAAGCCTTAAGCCCTTAGCTGAGTTGTTTGCTCACCACCCTCTAAACTGAAAAGAAAGGGTAAGAGGAGGAGTGGAGTCGGGTGTTCCTCCTTCTCTTTCTCTCGCTCTCTCTTTCTCACAGTATCACAACTCAACCTTTATTTTTCATTTGTTTGAACAAAGAGTGTACCTTACAGTATATTTACACATCATACTGACTGGCTGTTTGACAATTTTCACTTAGATAATGCAAGGAAGATTGAACTTTCAAGATTTGCTTCTTTGTTTTCATATTTTCTACAGTCTTGTTCTCCTTTGATCCACTCCTCTCATGCTAGCTGTGTAGTGAGATTTTCCTTGACATTAATGTGATTGTAATCACCACTATCATCATCATCATGATCATCAGTCATCTTTTTCATCATCATCATCATCATTACATCATATTCACCGTTATTATATTGATATAACTCTTTTCAATAGATTCCTCTCTGACAACTGTACAATCGTACACAGTGTTTGACTTTTATATATATATTTATATATATATATTTGGGAATATATTATTTAAACTTAAGAAAAGAGGAACATAATCCCAAATAAAATATATTAGTATCCCAAAGTAACAAAATCATGCATGTTTTAATGTATTCGTCCATAAAAACAAAACAAAAATTAATGTAATGGATGGGACCTTGTTTTTATTTACAAATTGATCTTGGCACTGTTTTTGTTGTCTCTTGCTGGAAACTGGAATGATCATAAAGAATACTTTTGACTCTACCGAGCATAACACTCTCCTGGTATTATCAGTCAGTGACTTGCTATAAAAGGCAGGTTTTAGAGACATGTTCTTTTTTTTTTTTTTTAAAGCACAAAAAACGATAAAAGAAAGAGGGGGGGAAGGACAACATTAGAGAGTCGACCAGGGGGCAAACAGAAGTAATGTGTAGAAAACGTATTTCACTTCAGCTTTACACTGTGGCAGTTTCCTTTTTAGGCAGAAACCCTGTGACATCATGTCTACTGACATATATATATTTTACCATTATTAGGGTGAATATCCAAAAGAGAACATTGATTTTGTCAAATTTCTTCTTGTAAAGCAGCATTAATTGACTCTGGCAAATAAAATAAAAGTCACCGAAAAGAACCAGCAGTACAGACCTACTACCTCAGGTTTGGCAGGCAGGTAGGGGTCGCTGTCTAACGTTTCCAGTGATGCCTTGTCAAACAAGTGCTTGACTGTTGATCCAAAGATCTTGTGTGTGAGCAAACATAAGGGTGTGTGTGTGTGTGTGTGTGTGTGTGTGTGTGTGTGTGTGTGTGTGCGTGTTTCTGGGTGTCTCTGCATACTCATATTCAGTGCAAACACATTGGGTAAAAATCCCATCTTGACCGTGGCCCATCAGCTCTTTTGTTTCAACTGAAACACATTAATCTACAGCATGGTCCAGCCCTGTCCATCTCTACCTCCTCTCCTCTGCAGGTCTCTGTTGCACCTCTTCCAAGAGACAAACTGGCAGGCATGCCTTTTGTTTATCCAGCCTTATGGCGTGCCAACTCCTGCCAAGTTGCCCGCTTTTACCCCCCCGGACACCACAACCACTACCACCACCCCCCCACCCGGCATCAGGTCCTAGCACAGCCCAATGTACTTGAGATTGTTCTGGATGATCACGTCCGTCACAGCGTCAAACACAAACTGGATGTTGCTGGTGTCAGTGGCACAGGTGAAGTGCGAGTAGATCTCCTTGGTCTCCTTGTTGCGGTTGAGGTCCTCAAACTGCCGCTGCACGTAGACGGCCGCCTCCTCATAGGTGTTCTGACCTTTGTAGTCAGGGAAGCACACTGTCAGGGGAATGCGTTTGATCTTCTCTGCCAGCAGGTCCTTCTTGTTGAGGAAGAGGATGAGCGATGTGTTGGTGAACCAGTTGTTGTTGCAGATGGAGTCGAACAGGCGCAAGCTCTCGGCCATGCGGCTCTGTAGGCATGTGGAAAGAAAGAGAAACGGAAAGATCAGGCTACGAGGAATTATTTTCACAGCTTAGATGTTATATTGTTTCTGAAGCAACAACCTAAATCAGCCCACACTATCACACATTTAAACCTCATTTACACAGGCAGGATCATGTAGTGATAAACCATGTTAGCAAGAATTGAGAAAGAAAATGGAGACAAGATAACTGACTGACTGACCAGCAGTACGGCTTCTCTGTTATGTCAACAGAGACTTGAAACTCACACAGATGAAGACATGCATCTGAACTCTCACGTTCTCCTCTGTAACAACTTCCTTATTTTTTCCTCGCTATTCTCTTTCTCGAAGTCAATAACTGTGAGATAATCAGCCCTAGAAGATGTGTGTCAGTTTTAGGTTTGCTCATTACAGAACAATCTTGTGAAGAATATGTGCATCAATTGTCATATATAAAATATTTGGATTGGGTGGAGACAAGGACACGGGCTGTTTTTGACAGATATGCTGTTTACACTGAGGACAGACCGCTCTAACCTTTCCTTCAGTGCACCGTCACTGCTCGGATTCTATGATATTGTTTTCTTCTTCAGCCTTCAGCTTTCATCACACTTAACAAGGCTTATCCAAATGTTGATGCATTTTCATTTATAGCCAGAAGGACCACATTAAGTTTAGCAATATTTTCTCAATAATGAATTATTAAGATATGTTTCACAATTCTAAAATGGAAATCACTGACGTTGACCATGTGTTTCAGATAAACGGGCTAATCAGAGGAAACAAGAAGAGTACAGATGAGTCGCAGCAATACTTTTTTAGCAAAAACAAAAACAGGAACCATGTGACGCCAGACGCTGTACCAAACTTCAATTGTATTTGTTTTATTCATTAAGCTTTTTAAATCTGAATTATTTCCATTTGATTTGCAGAAGTTTAGGTACAGAAGAAACACCCTTTGTGTATCTGTGTGGGTATAAACGTGTTTGTGTGCATGCATGTGCTTCAGTGTAGTTTGTGCTCATGTGACTTTGAATGTATGAGAGAAAAGAGTGAAAAGGAACGTTGATCAGTTCATGGCAGCTGCTAGCATGTGGCGACTGGCCAGCAGCTTGTGACCAGGAGGCTGTCAGATGGAACTGTTGTTTAAAAGGTTACAGAAACAACATGGTGCTCTGAGCAAATCACAAGATCTGCACAGAGTGAAAAAAAATACAGAGGGGAATAGTGGAGGATTAGACAATCATAGTGTGGTCTGAAAGTTAACCCTGATTTTTCAGTGTCGTAAGTGCACTATTTTTGGATAATGATGAAAAGGCAACAGTTATGGGAAAGCAAAGTTTTATAATAACCTTGAATGTGGCCAGTTTTTCATTTTGGCTAAAAGCTCTTTTTTGTACTTTGTGTTTTTTTTTCTAGGTAGTACATGTTGACAAAGTAACCCTTTTATAGTAAATAAATGTGGAAGCGACAAAGGTTAACAAAAACAAACTCTTGAACCACAATAACTGCTAAGGCTATAAACCAAGGCTTTGTTTACAACTTGTATAACAATGTGTCTTTAGTCCCTTTCTTCATCCATGTCTTCCTTTCTATTCCCGTTCTCTCACATGCTGTTAAAAACATAAGCTCTCCTTTCTGTAAAAGTATGTTTCCCCGAGGACTAAGAATGCCCCCTAAATATTGTTCAGTGCACAAAGTAATGTCTGGCTGATTGACCTCACTCCTCCTCTTTGCAGGGTGTGGAAATAAGAGAGAGTGGCCGGAGACAGCCAGCTGAGGCCACAGAGGACCTCGACTCCTCACCTGGCCACTGCAGTAGACTTCTTAATGGGGAGCAGGAGGAGGGGGAGAGCAGCGTTCAGGAGCATGCAGACCCCCTTAATTTGCTTCCAACACACACACACACACACACACACACACACACACACACACACACACACACACACACACACACACACACACACACACACACACACACAGCTTTCCCCCTCACCTCCTCCTGTCAGGGTAGTCCAGAGGTGCAGGATCTAATTAAGCTCAAGTATTAATAAGGAAGTTCAACCCTGTGTCATTGCTTTGTTTCCCATAAATACAAATCACTTGTGCAGCCACCCCTTGGTAATTCATTAGGCTTCATTTTAAATGTCACAGTCTTACTAGACAGGGTGTTCCTACCAAGATGATTTTCTCTGTCACAATGTTTCCTCTGCTCTACCTGAACATCCCTTTCTTCACACTGCTCTGCTTTCCCTCTCTGTGGGCAGCAACACATTGTAAACACATTACAATTGTACATATTAGTGTCGTGATAGATGCTGCTCATAATCAAACTTCTGACTGTAAGCTAAGCACATTTAAATGACAATTTTCTATAATTGTCTGTTTATGTTGATGGTAATTGTTTGCAGGTGAATATGTTAACACAAAATAGTGTTCTCATTTGCTTTAACCTGATTATTTTGTAATGTGTAAGATTGAGTATGATGAGCATTATTCAATATGAGTATATCCATCTATCTATTATATCCATTAACATCCAAATCTAAAAAGATTACAAATATTACATTATGAAGGTGAATATCTGTGAGCCAACTTCAACTTCAGGCATGTTTTGAAGTATGTAAAATATCTTCTTTTTTTTTTTAACATGTTTTTCACTTTGCAGGGACTTTGACAGTCATTGTCGGACATTGTAGGGCACAAACAATTTCTTCATAATTTCTGAATGGGAACCTTTGTGTGAATGTTTAGCCTGGTAAATTAAATATTGGCAAAACCATGGCCAACATGTTTTTTTTCCACTCTGTTTTTCCTTGAACAATCTCATTCCATTTCTTGGAAAAGCAGTGTTATGTCATAAGAGCAATTCAATTAACTGATAGTAATTCCTTTGATAACCCATTAGGGGGTTAAAATGCTGTTGCTGAGTGAAGAAGAGAATTGCTGGATGCATTTTGAAAGACTAAAGTCTGACAGCTTCCTTTGTGCCTCTGAAAGGACGTGAAGTCACCGATCAGAGGAAATGTCATTTGACATACAATTACATTTCTGCGGCTTGAAAGGGAAAGTGCACATGCACACATTGACATAAAATCCTGAAACCCCAGTAATTCATTTCCAGTCGTCATTTATGTGACAGGTAATTAATTCCTGTTAGACAGCTTTATAAAATAATGATCGCGACAATGGAAATAGAGCAGTGTCTGCCTTTATGTTTGGCTAACACAAGCTTAAATACCCGCGAACCTCTCATCGAGGCGTTTCATTTTCACCTCTCACACAATCCACTGCAGTTGCTCAGCCTCAGCCATTGCATAGAAACCTCTACTACACATTCATAATAATGCGCGCAGAAAAACAATTCATGTGTGCACGTACACACCTCCTATCTATTCTCTCTAGCGCTGCTGTTTGTTGTACAAACGCTCCCCCCCCCTCTCTCGCCTTCTCATCCTCCCTTCCCTAGTCACAGCTCACTGTCAACAGCGGCAGGATTAGGAGCATTTGACTGGCCTGTTACTATGCAACAGTAACCATGGCAACCGGTTCATTATGAAGACAGGGATGGGACAGGGAAAATGCATCAGGGAATGGGTTGATGGGTAAATGTTGCACTGTAATTATTATGGTGTACTTTCTCTCTTGTTGTTCTCTCTGCATTGAAACTGAATCTGGTCGGACAAAGTTTGTTTTTTCTGCTCGAGTGACATTGAAGTTTTGAAGGTTGAGATCACTAAGATGATCTACAGTATGATCTTTTCCTCTAAGGAGGAACTTTCAAAGCAGCGTTAGTGTTCAGTGATAACCATACACACAATACATAATGCACATAATGTCTTAAACTCCTAAGTTACAGTTACAAAACCAACGGTTGATATGCTGGGGGAAAATTACCTCAATTTTTAACGCAGTTAAAACTAATTAAAATGACAGCTCGTCCTTGTATTGCAGGACTTGGAATTGAACACATTGATAACATTATGGTAATAGAGCCACTATTTAGCAATCAATACATGTTGTACAACAGCTTTACTGCAAATGTATTCAACATTTTCATGTTCTCATGGGAATGTTAATCCAATAAATGTGACATACAGGAAACGCTTTTACAGAGCCTGCTTATATTATCTCTGTGGTTGAATCAAGTTTATGTAGTGTAACCTGTGAAAGATGAATTTCAAGCTAGGTTATATGTTAAGAGAAACCTAGATTATCCTGCAAAATGCTCAGGCAAATATTTGGTGATGTTCTTGTTATTTATCAAAGCATCTGATGAGTCTGCACAGTTTTCTCCTTTCAGTACAAGATTGAAAACATTTCCTTTAGAAATATGTATACATTTTCCCTTCAGTCTGATCTCAATATTCTGCTATTTATTATAATCTTTGATATAGTCAATTGTCAGTATCTTTTTGTTTTGGTAGATAGAAATATTTCGACTTGTCTGTCCTTGAATGTTGGTCTAATACTTAATCCGTATGAATTGTATACTCGTTTTATTTTTATGGAATATCATTTTGTCATGAAGTCGTGTAGCATAAGCTGTATTAATTTCCCCATATTAGCGTAGCTTGTAAGTACTATTCTCTCTTTGCACCCTTATCTGGGTCATCTTAATTTACCAGCACAAGGATGGTTACAAACTTCATGCCATGAAGTACCTTCTTCACCTTGATCCTAACTGACCCATTTTACAAGAAACCAAATCTGGTTTCACTGCGGTTATTTACCCCATCAACTGATGTATCAAGTGTGTAACCAGAAAGTAAGCACATATACAAACACTCTTGCCTTGTCTATCAATGCACATGCATTGATCATGTAGAGGCCAGACTTAGTGTTAGGTAACAGCTGTTCAGCAGTGCTGTCAGCTGACAGCGGTTATGGAAGCAGGCGGCTCCAAGATGCAGGAATTCACAGAGGAGCCTTCTGTGGAAATGGAAGCGCAGCAAGCCAGCAACATAACTGTACTTAATCCAGAAACCTTTAGATAAGGTGTACAGTGTACACTGAATGTGACATTTAGAGGTGCTGTTGCATTAAGCTGTCTGCCTGATCGTCCTGTAGATTTCGGAGGGTGTGGCCTGATTGCCACCATTATGTGATTTTTATGCTAGAACAGCCTTTCTTCCATAACTCTGCATTTGGCTCTTTTATAAAGCTTCAGGCCACATAATACAGCAGAGGATTTTAAAATCTCAGCCATGTTATGAGTATGTATGAGTAGTTTTTCACTAATACTTTTACACATCTATTCAGTTGATTTGGTGACTAAAACATGAATAGGCGAGTAGCTCCTCTCGGTAGGTCATGCTTTAAAATCTTCTACCATTCTGCTTTACTTCTGCACATTTCTGCATGATCTACCCGTCCATTATATACTGTAAATAAATATAATTATACTTGGGGGCATTAAGACACCATCATAACTGTTATAAAACCGCCTAATGAGTAATGTATTTGCATAGTTATATAATAAGGTATAGCCATCCATCCATCCATCCATCTTCTCCCGCTTATCCGTGGTCGGGTCGCGGAGGTAGCAGTTCCAGCAGAGAGCCCCAAACTTTCTTTTCCCTGGCCACATCAACCAGCTCTGACTGGGGGATCCCAAGGCGCTCCCAGGCCAGCGAAGAGATATAATCCCTCCATCTGGTTCTAGGTCTACCCCTTGGTCTCTTCCCAGCTGGACGTGCTAAGGTATAGCCTGCTATTTAAAATGCTTTTTTCATGTTAATGTTAATTTTTTCTATATGGTTGACATGATGATCATTTTACAGCAGATGTTTGTTGAAGTCATTTATATTAGAATCTGGTTTATTTACCATCAATATGGTATTGAATCTGCACTCATTAATGTGGCATTCAAACACATTTCTTTAAACCAAAAGATTTGCGCTAATTGCTCATAATGCAAAAACTAATAAAACTGTTAAGAAAGTGGAGAGAGACTGGTTGCTCACCGCGGAATAGATCATTAGTATGCCATTTTGGCAACTGAGCCAGTATCCTCTAAGCAACGTGCACAGGGCAATGGAGTTGGCTGTTTGCCGCTATATGCGTGCTGTCTCTTGTGTAGATCCTCAAATGATAAACATGATTACTTAGCAATATATCCCATCTCCAAAATTCTATGCAATAAAACCATTGCGGAAAGGCTAAACCATTTTTTCAGACTCATGTTCTCATCTCTAATGTTAACAAGTACAACTAGTCGATGCGACCCAATGTTCTTCAGTGTCACCTCAGTGCAGGGTTAGCTGATGCATGTTGAGTAAAACTCTTAAACACTTAAAATACATCTAAATATAATGGACTTATTTAGCTGAGATGTAGTGTTGTGAGTCTCTGTGTTAACGCACAAAGAAGAGCTGTTTGTGAAATGGTTCATTGAGTCAGTTAAGGCAACATGTCACAGTTTGGCCCATAAAAATCACAGCCATTAATGGGTATTTTCTTAGAAAACCCTCGTTTAACTAAAATAAACCCTGTTGGTTTCTTCAAAGGCTACTTTATTTCACTTGTTAAAACACATCCAACTTTAAAAGCAGTCATGAATTCAACCACAACCTCACCATGAAATTGTCAGTATTTGCAAAAAAACGTCTTTATATTCATATCTGCCGCAGGATGACTGCTCTAATTTCAGGATGTCTTTCTTTCTGGTTCGTTTGATCTATTGCCATCTTCTTCCGCTCCTATCTTAGAATATTAGAAGTTGTTTTTTCTTGCACCTGTGAACTCCCATTGCTACTTGGTGCCTTCACAATCTGTTAATTCTCACAGGTACAGCCTCACACTTTATTCTGTGAACTCAATTAACACCATACTGCATTTTCTTCTCAGACTTTATTTTTAACCTATAAAACTAATTGATTTCTTGTTCCAACCCATCTCCGTGCACTCCCTGTTTTATCTGGGCAACCCATGAATTATCAGGCCAGCTCAGTAACAGGAATGACTTTGTGCTCAAGCTATTTTTGAGTGTATGGAAAAAGTGAACTGGAGCCACTTTAAGAAAAAATATGTGATCATGGCTTTGAAGAAATAGTAAATAGCTGACCCCTCATAGTTGGTCTACACTCAAGAAGTAAAATAGTATCTATTGTTGACCTTCCATTATCAAAAAGGCAGTTAAACAAGCAATAACTACCTAACTATTCCAAAACACTCAGATAACAAAGCAGATATTCTATGGATGGTAAATCGTTCAAATTCCACAACCATGAAGGGGAGATAACCAACCGGCCTCTCTCATTCAGACAGATTTGAAATAGCTGCACTACCACAATAAGGGAATGTGTTTCACCTATTTCTCCATTCATGCCTCCAGCCAAATAACTTTGGAAAGGACCATAACATTTGGATAAGGCCTTCCAAATAGTTTATTAAACAAAACTGAATGCACTGAATGCTATTACAGTCAGTGCTAATGTTATTTAGAGTATAATAAAAAGATGAAAAGGGTAAAGAGTGGAAAACAACCTTCTGCAGATAAGATTTTTGTCTGTTACATTTTCACAGAGAAGCTCTTCAGCACTTTAATGCAGTAAATCCAGTCCATGTAAATCAAAATATACCAAAAGGAGTAGGACATTTGTTCGGGCTTCTGAGGTGAATCTCCTAATTCCTCTCTCCAACAGAAAATATCATTAATGTAACCTCTGATCATTTAGTTTAATTAAACTTTTACATAGCTGTATCCTCTAGCTATAGACCTGAACTAAAGGTACACTTAATGTTGTACTTAGAATGAACTCACATTCTTTGTTCAGGTCTGTTTACAGTAGCTGCTTTAAGTGATAAGCTGTTCACTCGTTTGATGGTTTAATAATCTTACAGTGAACTAATGATTGTGCATTTATTTACATTAAAGTAAACAAGGAGTGTTAGATGGAAAAGGCAGACCTGATGTAATTGATTACATCCAATATAACATACTCAATTGTGATCTCTTTGCTTCCAAATTAAAAACGTTTAATATAAAAATGTATTATTTGGAGGTTTTGACAACCCCAAACATTTTGCCTTTGATTGTTCATAATTAGCGAAAGGAATATATTGAATCTATTTGTGCACCAGACAGTTCATGCTTTGAAGCAATTACGTGGACTTTGAATATAGATACCAAGATTATTGGTATCTAAGATCATTGCAATGCGTCAGAAGTACTTTCTTGTCTGACTAAAAAAGATTTGATCTTGTCACTTAAATGACCTCAACCCACTGATTAAAATACTGGTTGGATCTGTTCTCACGAAGTGAAACTTAGTCAGAGTTAAGATTGAATACTTTCTTGCTTATTAGGATGATCTATTCAAACTGCTATATTAACAGGGATGTTAATGTGTGCATGTGCACATATGGGTCCTGTAAAACTGATTTGTCTTACCGTCTGGTTATCCTCGTAAAGTTTGAGGTCATAGCCACTTAGCTCGACACAGAAAATGATTGCAGTCACGCCCTCGAAGCAGTGGATCCACTTCTTTCTCTCTGAACGCTGCCCACCCACATCCACCATCTTGAAGGTAAGCTCCTTGAAGGTGAACTTGTTCTCCACAATGCCGGTGGTCATGTCGCGGGACCGCAGGATGTCCTCGACGGTTGGGATGAACTCGAGTGCAGAGATGCGGTCCAGGTCATTCAGGTAGTATGCAGTGTTGTCCTCTAAGTGGTACTCATTGGATCGCTGAAAGCACTCCTGTACCCCTGAGTCCCCCCACAGACGTTTCATGACCCCCTGCAGCTCTAGAGTGATCTCCCCTTTGCTCTCAGCCGGTCCTGTGAGGGCGAAGAGCTGCACGGCGTCGTAGGCGCGATCAGCATTGTTAAAGTCGATCTTGAGTGTAGTGAGGGCACGGATGATGCGTGTGAGCGAGTCGATGGCATTGTACAAGATTAGGGGCTTGTACTCCTTACAGGCATCCAGGTTGAAGCCTCCACTGTGGATGATCTTCATCTGCTTGACAATGGTGCTCTTGCCCGAGTTGCTGGTGCCCAGCAACAGGAGCTTGATCTCACGCCGCTGCCGCTGACTCTCTGAGCGCAGGTGGCGGTCGATTCGCCGGGAGCGCCGCGCCGCTTCCTTCTCCTCCGAGCTCTGACGGCATCCCATGGTCCTCCACCACGTGGTGAGCACAAAGGAAGTCGTGCTGCTGCTTGATGGGAAAGCAAATTATAACGAAGTGGTGACCTAAAAGGATCTGGTGGACGAGTTGGAGAGGGTTTTCACTAACGCTAAGAACTTGCTGGTGAAGAGGCAGACAAGTCTTCACAACAGCCCAATTTAACACTAGACGGGAAAGTCACCACACAGAGGAGCGGCTCAGGAGGATTTGATTCTTTTTGTTCAGGGGCTGTCTGTAAGTCCTGTGTGGTCAGAACCCAGGCTTTTGGGATGCCCACACAGCGCCTGGCACTGAGGTCGGACTGCCTGCTGAAGCCAACAGAGCTGGGGTGCATAGCAGGGGCTGCCCCTGAGAAACAGCTAGGAAACAGGGCTGGAGAACGTTGAGCGAATAGCACTGGACAGATTGTTAGGGCTCGATGCGTGCGAATTGCAGAACTCCCTTACTCTCCTCCCACATGGCTCTCGTGGTACGTTGCCCTCGTTTGGCTTCAGCAACATCCACCCTCAGTTAGATATAGGTCGTTGTTGCTTAACCTTCCTGATTAAAATCTTTTCAGCTTCTTCTGTGGTGTGATATCTCCCCAGCAACTGAAGTCCAAGTCTGCAACACATAATAAAAAAAGATCAATTAATAGCATGTTACACACAAATGAGAGCAGGTTCATCACTTTCCATCACATAATTAACATATTTGCTACAAGAATAGTTCAACCAAATACAATTTGACTTGTAGTGACCTTTGGTGATCCCTTTAACTTGCTGTTTGCCCCTGCTTCCAGTCTTTATGCTATTTGCCTCCTGGCTTTTGCTCCACAGTTAACACACTGCCATTACTTACACCAGCCTACTTATTGCAATTTCATAACAACGCACAAACAATAGACTGATAAGCAAAGAAAGCATGAACAGTCACATGCATACTGACCTGCTCACCTCAAATTCAACCATTGCCATGCTACTTGTATACAGTGTAAACTGCCACTTGATATTTTTACTCCCAACAGTCACACACCCAAACTCTGTCCCTGTGCAATCCTTTGTTACCATAGACCTTAACTGAGGCAGAACTCCGCTGACCGCACCTACCCATTGAACACAACCGTGCACACACACACAGAATCATTATATACACAACCGAGGTCAAACATTGGCATAGAACCAGGCCGGTAAAAGCACACTCAACTTTTTGAAAAGAAACAGAGCCTATTTCCACTACAGCGCAGCACCTTTGACTGTAATACTTTCAGACCTGATAGGCAAAAAGGTGAAATTATTAAAATATAAAATAACTCATGCCAGCAGGTGCCTCTCAAGCTTTCATACCGCTGTGGAGCCTGTTCTTCTTGCCCAGACATCTGGATTCTGCATTGTGATCCGGGGAAAGGAGTATATCTGGTTTCACTCTACCCCTGCTTAATATATTTGTGTTCAGCAGGCATCACTTTTACGTTAACAGAAACAAAAGCAAATTCCAATAAGCTTCGGGACAAATATTAAAACGAAATACTGCCTGATAGTATTGGATAAATGTAAAGCAAAAGCCCATTTGGAGCCGTGAATTTCTTTGGGATTCTGTGATAAATAGATGCACATTGAAACAGGCTGCATGCTATTGGCCGAGTAACAAATGTGAAGTCATACTGTGGCCTAGTTTTGTTGGCGAAACTATACTCTACAAACCTCTCACAGTGAGCTAGAGAGGAGAGAGAGAGAGCATTTCTCAGAGCTCAGTGAGTGAGGTCCACTCTTCAAACGACAAACAGAGCAGAACAAAGCCATAACAAATCATCACAACACAAACAGAGTGGAGAGCATTGTTTCCTGGCTCCAGGCACCTGACTGCCCCCTCAAAATGCCATAGCCAGCCAAACCGGTTAATGCACATCACTGATTTTGAGAGCCTATGAAACACATTAAAGCTGTGTATGAAGTCTTTTCAATTTGCTATCTCAGAAAAATGCAAGCCTTGCATTTCCACACTTTTTGAAGTCATACCACTTTAGATAATTGCTAAGGAAGTAGTGTGCCAGCGCTGCAAAACAAATCAGTCAATGTTATTATCGCATTACATTTGTATTGATAATATCACCCATTCTATTACACTGCATAGAAGAAAACGTAGTCCTTTGCTGGTATAACAACTAGAGCAGAACACAGTGGGACATAAGTATTCAACTTTAAACCAAAACAATTAACACACGATTGATACTCATTTTGATTTTGAAGCCGCTCTGAATGCATATATGACCATCTCCAATCCATATAATGGTAACGGAGTCATCATCTTTACTCAAAGGATAACACTTCCAGGCTTACCTCCTCTGGTAATGCCTAAATATCCTCATACATGTCAAACACCTTCCAAGAAATGGCGCTAACAAACAGTTGGCCCTCTTACACAGAAGAAGCGTGTCACTTTAAGAGTAAGAGAGTGGAGGTAGAGGCATGGGGGCCACGGAGATAGGCCAGCATCTCGATGTGTTATGAGGGCTGAGGTAATGTGATAGCCTGGATTAGACTGAGCTCGGTCACTCTTGCCTTTCCTACACAGCTCCTGCTGCTCACGGCCCATCAGCCCTGCCTCCATCACTCTCCCAAGCGCTTACTTCCTATTATTAATTGAATATGTTGCAAATAATTACCATCCTACCCTAATTCAGATGAGTACATGTAGTCACAGTGTGTTTTTGTTGTGTAACAGTCTCTCCTTTCCTGCTGTGGTTGATAATTCCATAAGATTGCTGTTAAAATCAGATTACATTAGATTTAGTGGCGATTCTTTTTACAAAGGCACAATTATTGCTCACACAAAATGACAAAAGCAAGCTTATATAAAAAACTAAAATATATATTGTATGTAGTTGCAATGTCTGTATACAAACATCAGGCAGAATGAGCCACTGTGTTTGAATAGTGTAGATATGTATTGCTGTTTAATACCTAATGTTAAGAAAAAACAGGTAGTTGATTGTATTCACACAACCACCCAAAACGTAACATTCAAAAAGAGGAAATGGAAGAGAAACTCGGCAGGCAACTCATCTGTTCGCACGCTCAGCGAGAAAATTACCAGGTAAAGTAAATTGTGAAATTCTACTTGGTGTTCCAGGTCAGTACAGCCAGATTCAAAGCATACAAAGAACATTCCATACAATTGTATCTCAGCTATTTTAAAAAGAGCAACACAAGCGTGTTGAATCCATTATGTGTTGCTGTGAAATCAATCTCCCCTTGTGCCAGTGAGGACACATGATTTAAATTAAATTAAACATAACCATATAGCATACAGGGAGGCTGTGGCTCAGTGGAAAGTGTCCTGGACTTCGGATCAGGGGATAGCAAGTTTGAGTCCCACTGCAGTCAGCATGTCGTTGTGTCCCTGGGCAAGACACTTCACCCCAAATTGCTCCTGTGGGGATTGTCCACAGTACTGAATGTATGTAAGTCGCCCTGGATAAAAGCGTCAAACAAATTACATGTAATGTATGATTTAGGAGGAAGAAGGAAAAAACATGGCATAGTGATATCATGTGTTACAACTGCTTAATTTGCTCACGTTTGGGGAGATGAAGGAAAGCAAAGGTATTGTTTTTATTAAAAGCACATTTTTGCAATGTTAAAACTAGAATTGAAGGCACAGGTGAGCTTATAATCATCTTGTAATGCTTTATGAATGAGGTGTGCAGGTGTGTGTGTCAGAGCTGTGCTCGGAGGGCTTGCATTTCAAGAGGGATCGGATGAGCTGTTCCACTGAGAATAACCCCGCTGTGGAGAGGCAGCAGGGAGAATATGGCTCTTCCCTACATCTTCCAGTCATAAATAACTGTAGTCTTCAGCAGGGGAACAGCACCGGCAAACATGTTTCACATTTATTAAACCAGGTACCGATTTACATCAAAACTAAAGCAAGAAAACCGTCTATTCATCACAGCTAAGCATTCCAAGGACTTTTTAAAAAGCAACCTGGGGAGTGATCAAACAAGAATCCTAGTATATATCATTGTCTGTTGCATTAAACACAATACGAGTCAGCCTATTCCTTTAATTTTAGGGTTTTAATGCTGGCATGGTGGGCACATAGAGATTATTCCTGCCACCATGATGGTCAGCTCTGAGCTAGACATCAGCCTATGTCCACTTTAAGGGTGCACTTTGTCAAAAATATTTCCAGATCTTCTTCTCCCGTTAGCTTCTGGTTCTACAGAGAATATGATCACTTAATCAGCTATGTTTTTTTCCGCTGCAACGTGATTTAACTTTGTATCTGTTTACACAGACACTTCATGATTCGTGACCAACAACGTTAGTTTCAGGAACAAAATGCAGCTGAAGCACGGTTTTTATATCATAGGGCAAGAGCCAATGGGGAATTTCCATCACATTAATTTTCCATTACCTGACTGACCAATGGTGAAACTCCATAAACCACATGTCAGTCAGCAGTCAGAGACTTTTACATTAGTAGGGATGACCCTGCTTTGCTGAGGTCAAGAGTATTCTAATTAAGATTATACAGAAAGGCACTTGTAGGTCAGTTTAACCGTAACTACACAGAGCAGTGGGGTTATGCAAATAGACTCTTTGATGACAGGCCTTGCATTGTGTAGTAAACATGTTGTTATTACATTTTAATCTAAAGTGCGATCGTGTCTCTTTCGTACTGATGGATGTCGGCATTGCATACAGACGCTAACCAGCATTACACACCCTGTAGCAAACTCAAATACAGGACATGCACACAGGAAACAAAGCAGCTCACATGCTTTACAATCAGCTGCTCAAGGCGTATGCTTTCTCACCCAGAGGCGGCTGTTTTAGTGGCGTTCTCCCTGCTTCTGACTAGCTTTCCCCTGGCTGCCTGACAAAAAGAGGTTAAAGACTTAAGGCTGTCTGGTCATTGTCCATATACAGTGTCATAGTTTTACTGGAATGCAGCGGACTGATTCTGACAATAATATCTGAAACCCCAGAGTGAAACAGTAGCTAATCCCCAGATCTGTACTAAATCCTGCTATTGTGTCAAGATTAAGCAGTTAGAGTGAAACTGTGATCAAACCTTTGGGTCATGTCGGGTATTAATGGGCTCTGTGGCGACTGTCAAGAGCAACTATATACGACCTTTCAGTTCTTGTTTCAGTCTTTTTTTTCGAAAATAAGTAATTTAATTACTTTAAGGGGTAAAAATCAGCAGATAAAAAATGAATAACAGCCTTGTGGTGTTACTGGAACAAAAAGTTGCCCAGCCGAGCAGAGAAGCTCTCTAAAAGAGACAAGAGGCTCTGATGAAGGGACATTATGAATTTATGTGATGCAACTTAGGCAGTGAATAAGCTTTGCATTAGAGAAAATCTGAGTAGATCAATAGACATGCTTTCCTCAACTACTATCGCCTCCAAGAGCTTATTCAGTCACAACAAAGTCAAAGATAATGCTGGAAGGCTGACAGAAGTATGCAGAGGTCATAGACAAGAATTAGACCAAATGTTCCTGATTGAGTTGAGAGGCAAATTAATACGTATTAAGGCAAACAAGAAAATACAGGAAACGGATATTGGGGCAGACCAATCGTAAAATCTTTAAAATGTTCTGAATTGAATTTTA